AGAAAACTAGCCCTAAAACTCACTCAACTTCAGCTATGCAATCGAGATGACTTCCTGCGGACCATATATTAACATATTAACTAACGAAAAGATCAATAGCCCCTAAAATTCAACTCTAGCTATGCAATGGAGATGAAAAAAATCTATTGGCGCCCAAAGTGGCGCCCTATTAATTTGATTTTTTTTTTTGGTGATGCTATATGGGCAACATATTTATAGGCATGGTTAGATAAATTTTATAATATTATTAGGAATTATTATTTCGTCAAAATTTAAAAAAAAAATGGCGCCCAACGTGAAGCACATCTAATATATGTGTCATGAATATAAACATTTTAAGAAACAACCCGGTCTTGAAACTCAACTTCAGCTAGGCAATTTAGCTGGAGAAATTGAACAACTAAATATTGGCGCCCAACAAGGGGGGCAATTAATTTAATTATTGTGTATACGATATAAACAACATGTCCATATATATAATATTTTTTCAAGAAGTATTTTTATTTAAAATTATGAAAATGGCGCCCAACTTGGGGAACGTTCTATGGAATATAGATTAATAACTTATTAAATATGGAGAAAAAACGCACTAAAAACCCTCAAATAAATAAATAAATCATATTGGCGCCCAACGTGGGCTGATATTGAAATGTACTTTCAATAAAATTATCTTCCATCAAACATATTTCAGGCTATGAATTAGAGAAATTCTAAATGGCGCCCAACGTGGGTAACGTTCCATAGACTATAGATTATTATATCTTATTAAACATGGAGAAAAAACGCACAAATAAACTCAACCCTAGCTATACAATCGGTAGGATGAAATTAAAAAAAAAAATCATATTGGCGCCCAACGTGGGCTTATAGTGAAAAGTACTTTCCATAAATTTAAAGAAGAAATCAAATATTTTATTATTGAGCCATATTCCAACATATTTCCGACAATGAATCAGAGAAATTGTAAATGGCGCCCAACGTGTGGTCGTTTGAAAAACAACATCGATTTCTTTGGAACCTATAGAACGTTAGGATTAACATATACATAGAACCCCCTTTAAATTCAACCCCAAATATGCAATAAATATGAATAAATTAAAAAAAAATATGTATTGGCGACCAAGCTGCGGCCGATGATGAAAAATACTACAGATGGAATTATAGTCGATACAATAAAAATAAATATCAAGACATATTTAAGGCTATCAATTCAATAAATTCTAAATGGCGCCCAACGTCAGGTCATTTAAGAAGTATAAATATAAGAACTTCACATTCTATAGACCAATAGATTAACATATTAACCATGGCAAAAGTGCCTCAAAAATTCATAGCTTCGTCTATGCAAATGAAATGAAATTGAAAAAAAATATTGGCGCCTAAAGTAGGGCTGATAACGAAAAAATCTTGGGATAAAACTATCGGCTATAAAATGATGAACTGGGTGATACTTTTAAAAAATATCTAGATACTAGAAAAAATACCTACTGCTATCGAGACATATTCCAACCAACTTCGGGCTATGAATTACAGGAAAGTGGCGCCCAATGTGAATTCGTTTAAAAAATAACAAAATGAAGATTTCAGAACCTCAGCATAAAAAACAAAACACTTAAAAATATTTCTACAAACTCCATGCCTCCATATCGAACACTTGAAAAAATAATTTTACAAACAACACAATTTATGTACATTTGCTATTGGCGCCCAATGAGGGGTCTAATAAAAAAAATTATGACATATGTCCTAAATTCCTATTTTTATAAAGGGGAAATCTGAGGTTATTTTTTAAGGCTTTGATAAATGGCACCCAAGTGAATCGATGAAGATTTTTTACTGTTTTTTTTTTTAATGATTTTGGAGACTGGCGCCCAACATGGGGTCCCACTAAAATTTCCAGAATATTCATTCTAGAGATGTTTTTCTCTTTTGCAAATTTAATTTGTGATGTTTTTTTTTTGGAAAATTATGCCAAATTTAAGGCTACTTGATATTGGCGCCCAATGTGGAGTCCAATCAAAAATTATGGAATATTTTCACAAATTAATTTTTTTATCATAATTTGTTATAAATTTTTTAAGTTTTGATAAATGGCGTAGAAATTTAAATTTTGTTCCTTGTTTTGGAGCTGGCGACCAACGTGGGGACCTATTAAGAATTTCGAAATATAAATTTAAAATAACAGCTTTCCTTAGCAAATTAAGTGGTAAAGCAAATATGTGATGGTATTCTAGGTTTTGTTCTTTTTTTTGGAGATTGGCGCCCAATGCGGGGCATTATGAAATTTTCTGGAATATTCGTTCTAGATGCTTAGTTTTAAATCTATTGTGCAAATCTGAAATAATATCTAATTTTGGGCACAATTCATGTCTATTTGAAAATGGCGCCCAATGAGGGGTCCAATAAAAATTAAAAGAAAGATAAGAATCTGAGGTTATTTTTAAGGCTTCGATACATGGCACCCAACTAATCGGAGACGATTTTTTATATTTGTTCATTTTTGGAGACTGGGACCCAACGTGGAATTCGGTGAAAAAATCTGGAATATTGGTTTTAGATACTTATTTTTGAAATCTATTTAGTAATTCGAATTGTTGTGTTTTTTGATAAATGTGAGGCTATTTAGTATTGGCGCCCAATGTGGGTTCTAATGAAAAAAAAAAATATAGAATATTTGTTCTAGAATGATATTTCTTAAATCTATTATGTTTAACCTGAAAAGATGTATATTTATTGATAAATGGCATCGAAGTTAAGGCTACCAACGTGGGGTACAATGAAAAAAATAAAAATGATGAGAATATTCGTTCCGGAGAAATATTTCTTGATTTCCATAATTGAAATCTGATGGGATTTATATTTTTTGATAAATGGCGTCCATCGTGAGACTACTTGATATTGGCGCCCAATGTGTGGCCCATTCAAAAATGTGGGGTCCAATCAAAAATTATGGAATACTCGTCCTAAATGTTTATTTTCTTAAAGAAAATATTTCTACTGTGAACATTTAAGATTATTTTTTTTAGTTTTGATAAATGGCGCCCAACGTGGGGTCCAATGAAAAAATGTAAAATATTCGTTCTGGAGGCACAATTTCTCACAAATCTATTATGGAGATCTGATAAGATTTCTATTTTTTCAGTAGTGTTGGCGGGTTATTTGGGATATCATTTGTATTTTGTTTTTGCAAAATAGTCAGGCTTAATCCCAGTTTGTTGTTTTTATAAAAAAATGCCGTCCAACGTGAGACTTCCAAGTATTGGCGACCAATATGGGGTCCAATCAAAAATTATGAAATACTCGACTTAAATGAACTAAATAAGGAAACCAATAAGTGGCGTCAAACGTGTCGGCACTTAGTATTGTGAAAATCTGAGATATTTTTTTTTTTAGTTTTCATAAATGGCGCCCGACGTGGGGTCCAATGAAACAAATTTAGAATATTCCTTATGGAAGCATATTCCTAAAAAATGTATTCTGAAAAACTGATGAGATATATATTTTTTGATAACTGGCATCGATCCTGAGGCTACTTAGTATTGGCGCCCAATGTGGGGCACAACCAAATATTTTGGAATACTGCGCTTAAATGTATATTTTTTTAAAGAAAATATTTCTGTGGTGAACATTTATGATATTTTTGTTAGTTTTGATAAATGGCGCCCAACGTGGGGTCCAATGAAAAAATGTAAAATATTCGTTCTGGAGGCACAATTTCTCACAAATCTATTATGGAGATGTGATAAGTTTTATATTTTTTCATAAATGCCGTTCAACGTGAGACTTCCAAGTATTGGCCCCCAATATGGGGTCCAATCAAAAATTATGAAATACTCGACTTAAATGAACTAAATAAGGAAACCAATAAGTGGCGTCAAACGTGTCGGCACTTAGTATTGTGAAAATCTGAGATATTTTTTTTTTTAGTTTTCATAAATGGCGCCCGACGTGGGGTCCAATGAAACAAATTTAGAATATTCCTTATGGAAGCATATTCCTAAAAAATGTATTCTGAAAAACTGATGAGATATATATTTTTTGATAAATGGCATCGATCCTGAGGCTACTTAGTATTGGCGCCCAATGTGAGGCACAACCAAATATTTTGGAATACTCCGCTTAAATGTATATTTTTTTAAAGAAAATGTTGCTGTGATCAAGATCTATGATATTTTTTTTAGTTTTGATAAATGGCGTCCAACGTGAGGGCGCTTAGTATTGGCGCCCAATGGGGGGTCCAATCAAAAATTATAAAATATTCGTTCTAAATTCAAATTTTCTTAAAGGAACTCTTTCTATAGCAATAATCCGGGATTATTTTGTATATTTTGACAAATGGCGCCCAACGTCAAACTACTTCCAAGATGATCACTATTAAGAGGTTATATGAAGGTTAGATTGAAACGAATAAAATGAAAAGTTAATTGAGTAGAATACCACTACAGAGAACTAATTATTAATACTACAACAACAAGTAGAGAGATGTGTAAGTAGATGAGCGATCCGGAAAAAAAGAGCTACAGCTAGAAGAACTACAAAAATAAATTTTAAAAATCATTTCCTTACACTGTGAAAAAGTAAAAATGTATCCACACAAAATAACGAGCAAAATTTTTGTTTGTGGTTGTTGGTGCGCTTTTGAAAGATGAGAGGCAGTGTCGGTTGTGGTGGTGCAAAATTTTCGGTTGAATTTTGAATTCGATCATTTCGTTCCAAAAAAAAAAAAAAATTTTTTGGCATTTTTTCCATTTTTTTGTTAAAAAAATTATCACAAAAAGTTGGTGCTAAGATGTGGGATGAGGGGTAGACCAGGGAGACGGGAGGTTCTTAAGGTTAGTGGTATTGTGTTTGTTTTGGGGGGAAGCAATGAGGTAGGAAGTTGGTGCCAGGAAAATCAGATAAGAGAAGCTTAAATGCGAGAAGTGATTAATTTCTAGGTTTTTGGGAATATGGAGAGTAGAGAGCATCCTCTCTTCCCTCTCTCGTTAAAAAAACAAAAACTATGAACATGTGCATATGCCAAATGGTTGATGCGTCGACACCGTACTGCGTACCGTGCGACGCCTTAACCCCTTACCACCACCACCACCATAATATTGATGCTGATGATACCGATTCGCACCCGCCGAACCGAATAGCTGAGCATGATCATTAACTAAATTCTGCTGATAGGCTTTGGTATTAATGGCCGCGGGTACGGCATATAACATATAATTATCATAGACATGACTGACATCGGAATTCCGTTTGGCCGGTAAATAGGGTAGGAAAGCAAAAGAGGACGATGTGGAATGGGTGGATTTCTGTGAATGCTTTCGCGACTTATTGAGTAAAGCTAAACGGCTGATGGGCCGTGGTAGAGAACTTTTACGCAAAGTACTCTGATTCGAATAGGTGGGTGGTATTATTTTCGATTTTAATTTATATTCATAGGTGGGTGAGTCCAGAGAGGGGGATTGAGAATTTTGCGAGGTGGCAGATGGTGGCAAGGGTGGCACTCGTTCAGGTTTTGCCGGTATGGCTATGGGAATAAGGGAATGTTTACGTTTCTTGCGGGGTGGTTTAGGGGGAGGGGATTTTTCATTAGCCATCGCCGTAGCGTTTGTAATTTCTTGTTTCTCTTCTCCCGCAATTGTGTGAGTAGCCGAAGCAGAAGCTGAAGAGGAAGAGATTTGTTTAATCTCCTCTCTCGCGTGTTCGTTATTCGTTTCTAAAATTTTTGTTGTTTCTTGTTTTTGTTCGTTTGCTAAATTCGTTACGCTTACGTACGTCGTATTTTCGGCGGTTGTTGTCACGGCTTTCACGGCTGATTTGCTAGACTTGCCGCCATGCCTTTCGTCAACGCCATTAGATGTAGATGTCGTTGTTGCTGTCGTCGTCGTGGTGGTGCTGCTGCGTTGTTCATGGCGTTGTTGGGATGTTGAGCGACTGGAGTGAGCTATGGGGGGCGAATAGAAAAAAGAAGAAAACTCGCATTAGAAACCATTTTTCATTAACGAAATATTTTCTAAAATTTTAATCACTTCAAAATTTGGACCTCAACTGTTAAATATCCTCTAGGGAAGCTTTATCAATTTATTAATTTTTTTTAATGTGCTTGTGTTGCGTGATTTTTTTTTTTTGATTTTTTGATTCTTCTATAAAATTCAAAATATTTTCTGTGTAGTGTTAAAGGGTGTATCGGGGAATTGGTGCTTTTATCTGTTCTATTATTAGCAGTTATTTTAGTTTCTTTCAATTTTTTTCATTTCATTCTAACCTAAAACGTTTGTGCAAATTTGTTGGCTGTGTGGCACCCATTATCAATAGGCCCAGAACCAGTAATTCTGCAAAAGAATAGAATATACAAAAATAATAAGGGGGAATATTAAAAAAAAACAATGACAAAAATTATATAGACAAAATAAATGATAATAAATATATGCTATTTTGACTGGGAATCCATGGCACATTCCGAAACGTAAGTACAGATTTTGGGAACTAACTAAATATAAAGAATACCGAGATATGCATTTCAAATCGATGTTAGTTACAAGCTCATGCTTGGCTTTTAGCACAACCTAATTGTCTGTGGAGAAGATTCTCCTTTACTAGGAACGTAAAATGTCAAACTTGAGACTTTTCAAAATATCGAAAATTAGGAGAGGCCTAACATGTGTAACCCATAGAATTTTTGACTCAGAGTCTGAGTTCAAAATACTTTGAACAGAATTTTATGTTACAGAAGATTTGATCGTTGGAGTGTATTAAGATAAGAGTCTAATATGCCACATGCAACGCTGATAAGATCAAATATAGGTAGGTTCGCACTACATCATTCAGCCAAATATATTTGGAGCATTCTATTAAATTTGAAAAATATATCTTCAGTGAACTCCACACCTCCATGTTTTGGAAGCAATATGGTGAGTTCCACATACAATGTTTTCAAAGACTCCGTTTCAATTAGCGCTGTGTTCTTAGAAATGCCAGGCAAATCATGACTCGCGTCATCACATCGGTTAATCACATAATCGGCTTAATTTTAAGTTTCCTCCAATGCAAAATCATATATTCTGGAGTTCTTGGCGTAGATCGGACAATAGAATACCAGATAATCCCGCTTGATACCATCCACTTTCTTTATTTGAGTAATCCACTTCAGTACGGAATTTATTTCTTCCTCATTAATCTCGGATGCAAGTTTTTTCAGTTCTTCCAACTTGTCTTTAATAATATTTATCCTTTCCTTTAGTTAACCTTTTGGCCGCAATAGTATTTTTATGTTACAGAAGATTTCAACGTCGGAGTGTTACCTTAAGTAAGTGTCTAAAAGCCCACATGCAACGCTGATAAGATCAAATATAGGAAGATTTCCACTACCTCATTCAGCTCCTTCTTTATATACAAATATATTTCGAGCATTCTATTAAATTGTAAGAATATATCTTCAGTGAACTCAACACCTCCATGTTTAGGAAGCAATAGAGTGATCTCTATATACAACTTCTTCAAAGAATCCGTTTCAATTTGCGCTGTGTTCTTAGATATGTCAGGCATATCGGCTAATCATCATAAATTTCCTCCAATGCAAAATCATATATTCGGACAATAGAATACCAGATAATCCCGCTTGATACCATCCACTTTCTTTATTTGAATAATCCACTTCAGTACGGAATTTATTTCTTCCTCATTAATCTCGGATGCAAGTTTTTTCAGTTCTTCCAACTTGTCTTTAATAATATTTATTCATTCCTTTAGTAAACCTATTCGCCGGAATGGTATTTTTTTCCATAAATATGTACATATGGCGCTTAACTCCTGGGCATCTTGATTAAATCGACTGTATTTCTTCGTTCTCTTCTTCTCATAATTTTTTCCAAAGACTCTATGGAAAAATCTAACCCTTTCCCCTTCTGTCGTTAAATAATAAAAAAAAACTGTTCACCTCGTGAAACAGAAAATCTCCAACAATTCTTGAGCTCCTTATTCAAAAGCTCCTGGTATCAAATAGTGACGGTAAAGAAGATACCCCAGAACCAATAAAAGATGATGGTATATATTGTACAGCACCTAGCCAAGATGAGGTCAGAGTAGCAATTAATCGGCTGAAGAACAATAAAGCAGCAAGTGCCGAAGGATTACCAGCCGAACTATTCAAGACCGGCGATCAGATGCTGGTCAGGAGCATGCACTTGCTTATTAGTACAATTTGGCTAGAGAAATGCATGCCCAATGATTGGAACCCGTGCACAAAAAAGGATACAAGGCGATATGTGTCAACTATAGAGGAATAAGTCTCCTTTTCATCGCATATAAAGTGCTATTTAGCGTGCTGTGTAAACGACTGAAGCCAATGGTCAATCACATTTTTGGACCATACCAATTCCACCTATTCGTCGACTATAAAGCCGCATTCGACAGCCCTACCCGTTCAGAGGAGTTTAAAGCCATGTCTGCTTTTGGCATTTCTGCAAAATTAATACGGCTATGCGTGATAATTTTGAGTGGCACAAGATCAGCAGTTAACATCGGAAAGGACCCCTCAGAGCCCTTCGATACAAAACGAGGATTCAGAGAAGGTGACAATTTGTCCTGTGACCTGTTTAACATCCTGCTGGAGAAGGTAACAGAAATGAAACTCTGTACACCAAACAACACATGTTACTCGCCTACATCGATGACATCGATATACTGTGTTGAACACTGCGAGAGGTAACAGCCACCTTTGAACAAATTGAGAAGGAGTCTGCCAAAGTGGGCCTGACAGTAAACGGCGAGAATGACGTCCAGTAGACTTGGACCAACTGTGGAACTTGAGAAATACAGCTTCGAGGTAGTTAAAGAGTTTATATACCTTGGTACCGCCATGAATAAAACTAATGACATCAGTTCTGAAATGCGGAGAAGTATTGTGATGACCAACCGATGCTACTATGGTCTAAGTAAGCAGTTTAGAAACAAGGCCGCCTCCCATCACCACCAACCTCACACTCTACAAGACGCTCATACTACCTGCGCTGTTATATGGACCTGGAGCATGGGTACTTTCGCAAACAAATGAGCCAGCTCTTGGAGTGTTTTAGAGAAAATATCTCCGAAAGGGAAGGGGATCACGCGACAACGGTGAATATCGCCGTGGAGTGAACCACGTGCTGCTCTCGGAGATCGACATAGTCAGACGTACCGAGCTGAAGGCCAACGAATTCGCCGCAGATCAAAAGGCATATAAAAGCGAACCAGCTAATGATTCAGGCAGAAGGGGAAGGTCACGAATTAGATGGAAATATCAAGTAGAAGACAACATTGCCGAACACGGTCTTTTAAATTGGAAGAACTGCGCCAAAGAGCGACGCGCCTGTAAATATTTTTTTATGTTCGGCTTATCGAACAAATGTTCTGTCACAAGCCAGCTAAGTATGTAAGTAGATCCCCTTCCCAGCTGGATCTCGTAAGGTTGTCACTACTAAAATTTAAAATCTAAAGATAAATACTTTAATAGATTCTAGGACCTTATAGTGCTTCGTTAAAGAAAACAATTAATTTATTATTTTTGTCTTTGGGAAATATGATTTTTCGGCCTTCTAGAAAGATGTTTGTCGAAGTCGAACGTTATTCATGTGTTGCAGATTTAATCTTGAATAGCGTCAAACATTTATTGAATTAATTTCTCAAGCTCACTCCGGTTAACAAATTAGGCTGAACTTTCAAAATAGGTTGCATGGGATATTAAAGTAGGGAGAAAATGGGAATTGACGTTGACATATTACATCGTAATATATCTGATATACTCTCCGATTTGTAGAACCTTGCAATGTTGCGTGTCCACACTTCGGTAAACACTAACAGCTCCATCTATACTATATCTATACTTCACTATCAACATAACAATATTGGACAACAAGGATTGTGTCTTCGATAACGAATACAGGGTTGTATATGCAATTCATTTCGCCAGCACCACTGGCGAAAACTGCCAGAACTAAAAGGTAATGCGGCAATGTTTTGCAGCAATTTCCATATTTCTCCTACTCGGATCCCCTATACAAAATATATATATTTTGTATATTTCCTTTCGAAAATTCCAGGTGCTAATTCACAATGGGGAATGCGGCTAGGATCTGTTATGTTAATGACAATTCATTTTCCAGAAGTTTTTTTTTATTTTCTGAGAATCTGATGGCAAACATGAGACAGTACCGCTATATGGGGTATATTCTTAAATGTGAATTGTTTCTTTCTTGGTCCAAGGAAACTATTCTATCGTTCTTCAGATGTTTATGTATTGGTGTGTGTGGGAAGATATAAAATAATCAATCTCTAATTCTCAGCTTACCTTTTGATTTTGATAATTTCTCCGATTTTTCTCCGCCACTGCGTTCCATGCGGTGTGCCGAAGAACGCAGGGAATTATTGCGTTCATCGTCGCGTGTCAGACGTGATGAGGAATGTTTTCCATTCGTCTCCGATTTTTCATGACGTTCTGAGGAGGATTTAACTTGCGACGAAGAAGAAGTCCCTTGATTGCTGGATCGTTTCAGGCGCTGTGAATCACGTAATTCATCACGATGACGACGACCGCTGGAACTAATGGCGGAACCACGTTGTAGCGATGATGAACCGCCCGGGGTATGGGGATCACGTTTGCTATGCTGTTGGGATGTGGCAAGTCCATTTGTGTTCTCCTTGTGGCACTCTGCACGTTCTTTGTGTGTTGAAGAACGTGTGGTACTGGATGAACGTTGGAACTCACTGTGTGCAGAGGATTTTGTGGAGGATGATTTCAGATCAGGGCGTTGGGATTTGGATGTGGAGGAGGATGGATTGCTGGGACGTTTGGTTTTGGCCCGGGAACGATCTTCACGACGGAAACTGTTGCGAAGCTGTTGGTTCTGCTGTTGTTCCTCACCTGAGGAATATTGGGAATGGTAAGAGCGCTGTGAGTCCAATGAACTGGATCTTCGCTCCTCATGTGGCCTATGGCTTTTATGTTTAACCATTTGCGTGGATCGTGAAGATTTTGTTGCGGATTTTATGTTTTCATATTCCTTTTCACTGGAGAGGGAACGGGATCTGGCCCGAGGACAACATTCCACTGATGATTGGGATGAAGTACGTTCCCTTGGGGCAATATTTTGGCGATTTGGTGATGGTGTCGAATGGCGTGAGGTTTTACGGGCCTCCGAAGCAAATGTGCCTCGGGCCACCTTCACCGCTATACACGTGTCGGAGATCTTTTCCGTAATCGATTTTTCGTCAATGGTTTCGAGTGGCTTGGAGTTACGTCTCTGCAGAGAACGACGTTTGCGATCCTTTAGGGAAGATTCATCGGAGAGTTCCTGGAGGGAGACAAAAATAAAAATTGATTAAAAAATATTTTTTTTCAAGGTTCTCCTTAAGGCCTGGATTTTTCTAAAAATATTTTTTCAAGGTCAAATACCCCCATGATTTTTTTAATGCTTTCTAATACTCACCCTCAAAGTTTGATCAGCACTTTCATTCATTTCACTCAAAATCATTGCATCCCGTTGTAAGTCCAATTTCCGATCATATACCTCTTTGACCTTAAACACCGGGGTAATTTCATTGGCAATATTCTCATAGAGATGTTCCTCCTCGGCATCCTCCAATTCGGCTTTCTTCTTCAGAGAAATTCTTTCCGCTGGTTTTAGTTGGGAATTGCTCTTGGAAGCAGGTGGATTATGTTTCAGCAAATCCGGTTTATCATGTTCCAATTGCCATTGCCTGCCCGGTGAGGATCTATCATTCTCCTCTCGTCTTCCCGTCATTTCTTCACTTACCCTCCTTAGAGGTAAAGAACGTTTGGGAGAATTTCGATTACCCGAATTGAGGGCAGGATATTTCGATTTTAATTTTTCCGTTTCGTTTTGTTGTGAGGCTGCTATACCGAAGTAGGAGAGTTCATGATCGCGCAGCTGACGGGCACCACGAGCTTCTTTGATAATTTTTAGAGAGTCTTTGGTTGGCAGACTCGTTTGATATGGTTTGTGGGGTTGTGTCGTCGTCGTGGTGGTTTTGGTTTCCATAGCAACTGAGGTGGTTGAAATAAAAGAGCAGTTAGTTTTGAAATTTCAAGTAATTCTGAATTCCACCATACTCACCATTACTGTTAACGGTTCTTGGCTTTGCTATCGGCGGCACAACCTTTACCGCTGTGGTGGTGGTTGTTGGGTTCACCTCTGTTCCCGCCTGTGGTGAATGTAATTTAATACTCATCACATTTGAGTGTGGTAGATCTGTAATGAGGTGGGAAAAGTGGTTAGATGTTGGAAGGAGGTTTTGGAATCGAATAGTACTGTACAAACAAATTTATAAAATAGCTGTGACATAAAATCAAGGGGAAATGTGGGGATGTACCCCGGTGTACCCTACACCATAGTAGGGTATTATTGGAGGGTATGTAAAGTTTGACATTCAGTTTTTTATATTTTGAAAAACATTTTGTACCTCATAATATTACTGACCTTATAATTTCTCTCTGCGGACGATAAAGATAGATAGAACTATGATAATGGTGCACAGGCTTTTATATTAGCCCCAGTATTTTTATTATTTAAAGGATCAATGAGTAGTAGTTATAAGAGACTTTATAGATATACTGAAGCCTTCGAAAGTCTTTGAAGGTAAGTCGATGTTTCGGTAGTCCAACAGAAGACTCAAATGGAGCTTTCAAGGGGTCGCGATATAATTCTTTAAACGTGTGCTTTAAACTGAAGCCTCAGAGATCAGAGAATGCGCTGAGATTTACAGGCTAGCATAGCAGGCAGTCGAGCCAGGAGTCTAGCCAAAGGCTCAACGTGACTTTTAGGACGTGCTGAAGTTTAGGAGGATTTTTTAATGGAATGTTAAATTCACTGGAACTGGAGTCTCGAATGAAACTTCGACTGACTATATAAAGTAGAACCTAATGTTGAGGAGCCTTTTGAAGGTGATATGAAGGGCCTGAGAATCGTTATAGGCGTACTAATGCTCATAGTGCTAACTGGAGGCTCGGGAATTTTGTATTGGCTTGTCGAAGGGCTCAAGGAATCTTCACAGGCTAGTTGAGGACTTTAATGATTTGTATAGGAGAGTTAATAGCTTAAGAAGTCTTTATAGCCGTACTGAAGCTCGAACAGAAGCCTTCGGGAGTGTTTGCTGGTGTGCTGATGTCTCCAAGTGTTTTTATAAGTGTGTTCAAGGTCAACAGGAGTATTTACAGAAATTTTGAAGGTACAGGAAAGTTTTATAGGCTAGCAGATGCCTCAAATGAAGTGATGATGCTCATTGGGCGAACTGAAGTCTCAGCTATTTTTGTATAGGCTCGGAAACCCTCCAGAAATCTTCAAAGAGCAGTTTAGAGCTTAAATGATTTTTATGGGAGAGCTGAGCTGATAGCTCAAGAAGTCTTTATAGCCGTATCGAAGCTAAAACAGAAACCTTCAGGAGTATTTATAGGTGTGCTGAAGACTCAAAGTGCATTTAAGGGCACGTTGAAGGCCAACGTGAGTATTTACAGAACTTTTAAAGGCACAGGGGAGTTGCATATGATTGATGATGCCTTAAATGAGGTTTATATGCGGGCAATGGCTCAATGAATCTCAGAAGGAGTATTCACAGACTAGCTGAAGCTTCGTCAAAATTTTAAACGGCCTTTATTGGTGTGTTCAAGAAAAACCGAAGCCACAAGGAGTGTTTGTAGGTGATCATAGGCAGCTTTTAAAGGCGAGCTGAAAATTCAAGGATTTTTTAGGCTAGTCGAAGGCTTATATAGGCGATCTGAAAATTCAGGGAAGCCTTAAATGCGGTTTATAAGAATGCTGATGGCTCAATGAATCTCAGAGGGAGTCTTTATAGACTTGCTGAAGCTTCGTTTGCATGTTGAAGAGCGTTTGTAGGTGTGTTGAAGACAAACTGAAGTCTCAGGGACTGTTTATAAGTGTGCAGAAGGCGAATTGAAGGTTCAAAGGGTTTTTATATGGAATTTTTATCTTCGGAGGGAGTTTTAACAAGCGGGCAGAAGGTTCAGGCAATATTTGAAGCCCTGCTGATGATCAGAGAAAGTCTCTAAAAACGAATTTAAAGCTGAAGAGGGTTTATAAGCGATTTTATGGAGTGTTTAAATAAAATAGAAGTATCAGTGAGTGCTCATGAGTATGCGAAAACTTTCGGATTTTTATAAACATGCATAGGGATCACCGAATCTTTATGGACTACCTTTAGGCTTAAAGGTAAAACTCAGAGTCTTTAAAAACGTTATAAAATTCGTGGAGTCTTTATAGACAACTTCAAGGAGTCTTTATTGGCTAACTGAAGGCTCAGATAGTGTTTATAGATGTGCTGGAACTCCTTTTGGGGATTTAGAAAATCTTAATAAGCTAGCTGAAGTTTTAAATAATTTTTATAGGGGATCTCATTACTCAGGGAATTATTTATGCCATGCTGACCCTTCAAATAATCGATTGGTCTATTGTCGACCTTCGTATCCCTACATTGAACTAGATGAACGGACATGTTCAATGAATAGAACTGAATTATGTGGAACGCTTTTTTAAATTAACTGATATTGAGCGAATCGAATTTTGAAGGTCCTTTATGGGCTAGCTGAAGACTTAAATTATTGCTATAGAAGAGTTGGAGGTTCAAGAAGTCTTTTTAGCTGATCTGATGCTCAAACTCTGGGAGTTTTTAAAGGCAGTTGAAGTGTCAGAAAACTAAAAAGCTAGCTTTTTATTACTTAGGAATTTTTTATAGCCATGCTGAACGTCACGAATAATCGCTTGGTCTATTGTCGATCTTCACATTACTACTAGATGAACGGAATTGTTCACAGAATGGAACTGAATAATGTGGAACGTTTTTTTTTTAAATAAACTGAAATTGAACGAACCGAAATCTGAAGGCTCAGGACTTTTTTGGGCATGCTGAATGCTAAGAGAATCTTTATAGGTTAAATTAATGCCATAGAAGAGGTGGAGGTTCAAGAAGTCTTTTTAGATGATCTGATACTCTAATTCAAGACTCTGGGAGTATTTAAAGGCAACGTGAAGGGTCGAAGGTTTAACTGGTTTTTTATAGAAGAGCTGATTAAAGTCATTCTAAACCTAAGAGGGAACTTTTTAACTGAATCGTTTGGTTGAAAGTTGACTTTGGTATCCCTACTATTGAACGATGTTCACTAAAAGGAACTGAACGCTGTATGGAGCGCTTTTTTAAATAAACTGAATTCGGATAACGTTTAATATGAAGGGTTTCCGTTACAACTCAAAGGACAAGAGTTCTGTATATAATAAACAATTGGAAAATACCTTTGTATGGGGGGTTATTGAGAGATTATTTTGTGCGCAAATCGGGATGCATTTTGTAAAGTTTATATTGTTTCTTATGAAGTGAGGTTAGGTTGTATGCCTGCCCAGTGCTAATGGTTTGTTAAGTGAATTCAATGTTTTTGTTTCTTAAAATCTAAATCCTAATGTGTAATAATTTTGATAACTTATAAGATGATCTACTTTACTTTCCCAAGAATTTAGTTTTTCCCCAAAAACTAGAAACATAGAAGTCTTTAATGGAAATCTTCTTTTGGTAACTCCCCTCTATGATATTTACCTGTTTTCTCCAAAGTACTATTATCCGTGTCAATTTTCCATATGGTTTTCTTGGCCTTCAGGCGACTCCAACTGTGTGAATGTTCCAAGGCGAAATCATCTTCATATGACGAACTCTCTTGGGTACCACCACCACTATCGCTATCCATGTGGCCACGGAAGTAGCTTTTCACCTCTTCATCGGCACTATCTTCCTCTTCGTCACCGTTTTGCGGGTCAGCGGAAATTGTTGCAGCATCATAGATAAGCCGCAGGCGTTGTAGTTGTTGGCTAACCGGAATTTGTTCATTACCCAAAAAGCTTAAACGAGGCCCAGAATCATGACGCACAAACGAAGCTCCCGAATCGGTAGAGGTTTTCCTCGAATCCATGGAAAATTTCCTTGAATCCACTGTCGACCAAGAAGAGTTGGATGAGAAGCTTGTGGATTTATACAGCTGTTGATTGTGGCTGTTATCGGTTAGAGGATCGGGTAGCTCTTGATATGAAGTTGTTCCTGGTTCCTGATAGCTATTCGAACGCAAAATTATTTTTGGTTGCGTGGCAGCCTGAGCCTCAATGGAGGCAATGCTGAGTCGTCTCATGGCCTCATCAAATTCCGTGGCCGAACGCATGGTCTTAATAATCAACGTCGTGGATTTCAATCCTTCATCCAATATCTTCTGATGATCTTTGAGATCCTGTAGCAGTAATTCTTGGGCACTGAGACGCCGTTGTTGTTGGTGGTGTTGCTTCGGCTGTTGACCTGTTTTGGTAGCGAAATTTGTGTTGATATTCTTAGTGCGGATTCTCGATTTTTTGCTAATTTTACACTCGGTTACATTTTTAGTCATTTTGTTGTTGTTGTTGATTCGGTTTTAGTGATTAGATTTGTTTTCTACAATCGTACTGGTTTTTAGTTCGCAAAATAGTAGAGTGATCTACGTAATTTATAGGCTTTTAAAGCTTAACAGTTTTTCAGAAGTTGCAAGACGAAGGTTAAGTGAAGAGCAAGAGAGTGGAAAGAAAGAGAGAGAAGAGAATTGTGTAGTTCGGAATTAGTGAAATTAAAAAAAAAATAGGAGGTATTAAAATAAATGTTACAAATAACTAGGAGATTAGCTAGAGCGGAACATGGAACCTCAGTAAGGTGGTCCCCAAATGGGCTAGTCTCTGGAGTTCTTCACCTCCAAAAGAGTCTCAGAAAGTAGTATAAGGGTTTAATGGGAGTGGAAAACTTATATAGAAAATATGGGGTATATTTTAGAGTCAGGTTCCTTTAGATCAAAATACGATAGTTCGGATTCTAAATAATCGATAGCTAAAATAAATTGGAAGCGTTATTTAAAACATGCAAGGCAGGTGCTTGGAATTCAAGGATACAAAGCGTGGTAGGTGATATTAGATAGAGAGAAATGGATAGCAAATTGTTTAGAGATAAGAATGAGAAAGAAAAATAAAGGAGAAAATAGAACTAAAACTACACTGCGAATTACTTCGAAGTTGGGAGAATATTATCGACACCGAAATTCCCTAACTTCTTTAAGCAGTATTTATGGGGAGTATGAAGATTCTTCATGGTGGGCATTTCGGAAAGGTCGTCAAGGTAAGAAAATATTAAAGCGAAACGGAGGACCTAGAGTAAAACTGAAACGATGCAATTATCCTATCTTAAAATCTGATCTAAATAGAAAAAATTCCTTCTAAAAATTTGAATACGAAAATGGTGATAATGGATTTTTGAAATAGATTGAGGAGGAGGAGGAAGAGATTTCCATGGATTTGAAAATTAGAGGCGGCACTCAATAAAAAGAGGCACTCAAAAATCCTACCTTAAAGTCTGAACAAAAAACAAAAAATGCGTTCCAAAAAAATTGAATACGAAAATGGTGATAAAGGATTTTCAAAATAGAATGAGGAGGATATTGCCATGGATTTGGAGATTGAAGGCGGCACTCAATAAAAGTACATATATAGGATACGTAATAATTATATTTTTAGAAGAGGTAGGTATAGATCTTTTGTTACAAATCTGTAAAAAATTGCCGTACCCGACAAATTCGACATACGATTTAAAGAATCTTGTCATGTCCGTAAGGGGTTTTGGAAACGAAAGAACTATCGACACAATAGTCCTACATTAAAGTCGAATCTATTTAAATATTTTAAAATACGTTTTAAAAATAGTTTGAGGAGATTTCCATGAATTTTAAGGTAGTATGCGAAACTCAATAAAGGTACACAGAAGGTTCATAGCAATCAATTTACAGAAGGGGTAGGACTGGATTTTTTATAAATCTTTAAAAAATAGTCGCCACTGACAAAGTTAAGAACAAAATTCAACAAGTTTAGGAGCCCTGGCATATCTGTAATGTAATAGGAGGACCTAGAAACTTACAGTGCCGGTGGAATAATTATATCTTTAAGTCGGACTAAATGGAAAAAATCTGAAAAAAAGCTAAAAAAAATTGAATACGAAAATGTTGATAATGGAATTTTGAAATAAGAGGAGGAGAAAATTTCCATGAATTTAAAGATAGAAGACGGAATATAAATTTCCATTGAATAAAGGTACTGGAGGTTCATAATAATTTGTTTATTGATGCAAATGTTGTTACTGTCGATGTTCGGAATAAGATTCAACCCAGTTTAAGAGTCTTTAAAAAAAAGGTTTATTTGTCATAAATAAAGGTTTACAGTTGTTGAATGTCCAGTTTGAATGAAACGTAGGGATAACGAATGAAGAGGTGGAACAGAAGTGCAGTAAAATACAAAAACAACTTCCCGCACTTAAGTGTGGCTGCTGAAGAGACAGAATATAATGCTGCCTATGGATTTATTATTATAGAAAAAATATCGAACAATGGCCGACAAAGTGTTTTCTATAGAAAATAGCAAACAACCAATGATCAGTGATTTTTGTATTTTTTGTTAAGAAAAAAATTCCACGGAGATTATGCAATATATAAAGATTTGCACAGGAAGACGTCTCTTAGGCAACTTTGTGGGGTTCTTCCAATGAACAATTTCCCAGAGGTCTTCTAGAGATTTGTTTTGGAAAATTGAAAAGTCTCCAGAAGATGATGCAGCTTATTGATTTATTTCTCTACAAAAATATCGAACAAGGGTCGGCGAAATTTTCCTTTATAGAAAATAATAACATCCAAGGATCAGTGATAGAAATCTTTAGCTAGAAAATATGTTTAAAATTGGAATAGGGAAATGGTGACGAACTTTTTCTATAGAGAATAAAAAATGTCTTTGGGTTTTGTGACTTTTTCTTCAAAAGAATGTATTCCTACGAATTATTTGTAATTTTGTCTATTGGAATAATAGAAAACCTCGTCGCGGAAAATATATTTAAATGTGGGGTCTCTACTGGCCTATATCGAAGAAAAAGAACCAGTGTGGCGCGAAAAATACTTAAAATTTGAATACGAAAATGGTGATAATGGATATACGAAAATTGAGAAGACTCACGAAGAAGTATTTTTTTTTTTTTTGTAGAAAATGATAACTATAATACATCGGGGTCTTGGAATTGTTATCTATAAATAATAGCTACTTGGGCGCGGAAATTAATTTAAAATTGGAATACGAAAATGGTGATATGGGATTTTTGACAAAAGGAAAAGTCTACCAAAATAATGCTGCCCACGCATTTATTTCTCTAGAAAGATATCGGACAAGTGTCGACGAAGTTGTGTTCTATAAAAACAGGTAACAACCAATGATCAGTGATTTTTTGTAATTTTTCTTCGGAAAATAAAACCCATGGTGATATGGATTTTTGGAAAACGGTCAAACCTTTACAAGATAACTCTTTTCGTTGGCAGCATTATATTTATTCCTCCAGGAAAATTATGAATAAAGGTCGACGAAGTTTTTTCTATAGAAAATAGTGAAGTGAATATCAGCAAAGTATAGTATTTTTTCATCAGGAAAACACTCCCGCGAAAAATATGAAAATGTTGATAATGGAGTTACGAAAAATAGAAAATAATAACAATAATACATCGGAATAGTTGGCAACAAAAAACGAATAGAACCAAAAAATTAATTTAACAAATGGTGTTTTTTGGGGAGTATATATATATATAATTTTATTACGAAATGGTGATATAGATAATGCAGCGCAAAAAAACAAGAAAATATTCCCGAAAAGGGTTCTACTTTGGCTAGAAAATATATTTAATTTTTTTATACGAAAGTGGTTACAATGGATTTTTTTTTTTAAAATGGAAAAGACTATAGAAGGTGGTGCTGGTGGCGAATTTATTTCTCTAGGAAAAATATCGATGAAAGGTCGACGAAATTAAATGTAAAGTTTTACACCAATGTTCAATAAATGAGATTCAAATGGGAATGATAACAAACTACACAAATACAATCACACATTTGAATATAAAAAAATGTCAAATGGAAATTTTCAGTATTTGTAAGAATTTTGTACAATTTTATTTTCCAAAAACATGAATAAAAAATCCAAACGATACCTATAAATCATTTTTCAAAAATTTTTATTTTGTTTAGATATTGTGTTGTATGAAAGTGCTTTAAATTTTGGTACATTTCCAGTTCATTCGATAGCTATAAAGCAAGTGAGTGAATTTGACATTTGGCGCAAGTGAGGAAATTTTTTTGGAATACATAAGCCTGATATTTTTGGGGAGAAAATATATATAAAATTTCTTACGAAAATGTTTATGTGGATGATGCTTCTTTTAAACTGTAAAAAGTTTTTATATAAACCAAAATTGATTTTCTTTCGCATTGAAAGCGAAAGAAAACTTTCTTTAGAAATACATAAACAGGCTGTTAAAGTCGAATACGAAAATGGTGATATGGGTTTTGGGGAAAAATGTAAAATATATTTAAAATTTGAATACGAAAATGGTGATATGGATAATGCAGGTCTGAGGTCTATATTTTTTTTCCTACAGAAAAAATAGAAACCTAAGGCATGTGAATTGTTTCTCTATAGAAAAAGGGAACTTCAAGAGCCTGGGATTCTTTCTCTATGGATGAATGAGACCTATTCCGATTTTTCAATATTTTTTATGTCCCTCAGAAGAAAGTTTGATCAGTCTGTTATGTTTTTATTGATTCAATATTAGTTTTTAAAAAAAAACAATGTTAATTTTGTTATTGTAGCCATAAATGCAGCCCACAATGTTAGAAGCCAATTAGAGATTTACAGAGAAAAAATAGGTTATTAAATAAAAACTATTATAAAACTTACATACACACAAAAATATTTGTTACCAATACAATAAATAAATTATTGAATATTTAAAATAAATATTGTTTAAATAATTAGAATAATTATAACAACAACGACAAAAAAGTAGATCATCCCATAAGAAGTAAAAAACCAATTCAATATTTTGTTTTTCTACCATATACAGTAAGGTGGGTACAACTTACATGGCTAAGGGTATAATAATATGTCAAGTACTACAAATATATTTTTTTATATACATGGGGTACACAAGGCAGGTATGGTGGAGGATGATTGGGTGATGGAGGCTTGGGGAAGATGGACAGGCAATTTGTGTTGGGATTTAAAGGAGGAGGGAATTTTTGGTTCGGAATTCTTTAAAGTAAAAATTGATGAATCTATTTTTTAGGGGGAAGTGAGGTGAATTTTTATATTTTTCTGGGAAGGAATTTTTGTCAAGGAGCGGGACATTTTTTTTAATTTTATTGGGACCATTTTTTAATAATTTTTATTGGGTTTATATTTTTTTAAAGACCTGAGGTTATTTTTGTTATTGCAACTTACCATTTTCTTCCCAATTTTTCGTCGAGGGCACCGTCACAGGGGAGGTGGTATTACCCACATTCAAATTGATTTTTGTAGAGAAACCATTGGTCTGTGAAAGGTCTTGAATGCGTTCGGCAACCGACTTTATGGGAGTTAAAGGAGAATCATTGAGACCTAAGGACGGAAAAATAAAAGGGAATTATTTTTGTTTTCCTTTGAAGCTATTTTCCAAAACTTACCTCTAATTTCGTTGGCGGTCTTCTGCGTGGGCTTCACCTGCCCACCCCATAGCTCATCTGCCGTTTCGATATTCTCTCCCAAAACATATGGTTTCGGTTTGGCTGGTTTATTTTTCAGAATGCCTCTTAACGAAGTCATTTCATCGGTTTCATAATCGGTGGTATCCACGCCGCTGGTCGAGGCATAGCTGCTACTTCTCGAACTTTCCGAAAAGGCCTCTGCCACAGTGGTGACAGTGACATTTTTTATCTGCCCAGTGGCTGTGGTTTTTTCCGGTTCCGGAGAATCTACCAAGGGCGCACGATAGGCCACTGTGGTCGAGGCAATAGTCTTACGTCTCAGTTTATCATCACCAAAGAGGGTAACAGGCATTGCCACCGTGGAGGCACCTCCTGCCCCACCTGGGGAACTACTCCTGGTTGCTGTTGAAACTGTGCCGGCAGATTTGACTAAGCTCTGCAAAGGTCCCACGCTGGAGCTACGGCTGCGACGTCTTCGAAAATTGTTGGTTGGTGGAGGTTTACTATCCGTTTCCACAATATTCACCCTTCCTGATTCGGTGGCGAAATGCACTTCGGTTTTACAAAATTCCACACGCTTTTGTTGTACTTTTTGCGAGAAACCTCCTGCACTATTCGACGTGGTGGAGGTTATTTCTTGGCTTTGCATAAATTTCCCCTCTCCCAGCGAGGGAGAATTTCGTTCATAGAAACCATTTAAGCGGACCTGGGTGGTCTGCCGACCATTATCCCTTACATATTGGCTTTCATCCACCGCAATGGAGTGCCTTTTATTGGGAGCAGTCTCCTCCTCGTCATTTGGAGGAGAATTTGCGGCATCCTCAAAAGATTTCTGGGTACCATAACGCCTTCGGACCGAAGATACCAAGCCCGAAGTGTTTACCCCTTCTCCCAGTCGCACCACCACCGTGCGATTACTCTCCTGCTGCTGCAGGTGATGATGGTGCTGCGCTTGATGGGTGGGTGACCAATTTTGTAGCTCTCCCGAACGACCCAAACCACTATCCGTGGAGGCATCCATACGCTGCATAGATTTATCGGGTGGTGACATTTTTTCAAAACCGTACGATTTGCGTCTCAGATGCCACTCAATTGGATTGGTGTCCTTATACTTCAATCTCGATTCCAGGCTGTTGGTGGTATGCTTACCCACCACCGATTCTCCACTCCTTTCACTATACCTCTCCGGAGATTTCTCCACACTCTTCCTAATTATCGCTGGCTGAATTTCAATTTGTTCCCGCTCGGGAAGTTCCGAATTTGCTGGGTGTGTGGTAATAAAATCCTCCTTATACAGCGACTCATCCGATAGACGCTTTAATTTACCACGAATTTCCTTGAGAGATTCTGCTGTCAAAAAACTACTTCGCACAGGTGATGGAGATACCGGTTTCTGATCATTCGAATTGAGAATGGAACTCAGGGCAGCCAGATCGACATGATTATTTTTCATAACCGTATTTAAACGTCGACCGTTTTCCAATTCGGCACGAATTTTCGATACACTCACTGAGCTTTCGGGTAGGTCCAGAGGCCTTCGAGGGCTGGGGGATATTTCAATTTTACTGCTACCGGAATTTTGAAAAGATCTTCGTAGTTTGCTAACCCTTCTCCACTCGGCAGGTTCTTCGTCATCAACACCGTTGATATTCCAATCGGTACTCAGATCGTCTGTGGATATGGAACGGGATCTTTGTAGTGTGCTGGAGGATGAGTCGTTTTCTTGGGGTATTTGTTGACGGCGCAAATGTCGTGAAGAGAGTCTGAAAAGGGGGGAAGAGAGAAAGGAAATTTTAGAAAGAAAAATAAAAAAAGTTTAAAATTTTTTTTAAATTAATTTTTCAACAGCCTATAGAAGGCGTGGATTTTTTAATATTAATTTTTCTAGGTCGCACACAAGGTGTGGATTTTTTTTAAATTAAATTTCCAAGGCCCAACATCAGGCGTGGATTTTTTTTAATTACATTTAAAACATTTTCAAGTGCCTATATTAGGCGTTACTCGCGAGTGGTAGCAGCCACCAAAAAATTGAGAAGGAGTCTGCCAAAGTGGGTCTGGCAGTAAACGGCGAGAAGACAAAGATGATGGTATCAACGCGCATGACGTCCAGTAGACTCGGACCAATTGTGGAACTTGAGAACTACAGCATCGAAGTAGTCAAAGATTTTATATACCTTGGTACCGTCGTAAACAAAACGAATGACATCAGTTTTGAAATTCGGAGAAGGATTGTGATGGTCAACACCTCCTACTATGGTCTCAGCAAACAACTCAAAACCAAGGTCACCTCCCGCAAGACCAAACTCACATTCTACAAGACGCTGATACTACCCGTGCTGTTATATGGATCTGAAGCATGGTTACTTGGGCAAGCAGATGCGGCAGCTCTTGGAGTGTTTGAGAGAAAAATTCTCCGAAAGATCTATAGGCAGATTTGCGTTGACGGTGAATATCGCCGTCGAATTAACCATGAGTTGTACCAGCTATTCTCGGACATCGACATTGTTAGACGTATTGAGTTGCAGCGACTACGTTGGCTAGAAGATGCCCCAGCCTATAAGGCATATAAAAGCGAACCAGCTGATGGTTCACGCAGAAGGGGAAGGCCACGAATAAGATGGAAAGACCATGTGGAAGACAACATTGTCGAATATGGTCTTTCAAATTGGAAGAACTGCGTAAAAGACCGACGAGTTTTGAAATATTTGTTAAGCTCGGCTTATGGAACGAAAGTTCTGTCACAAGCCAGCTAAGTAAGTAAGTATTTCAGGCGTGGATTTTTTAAATTGATTTTTCAGAGGCTTATATAAGGTAGACCCTAAAAATAGTTATTTAAAAATCTACGCCTTAAAGTAGACCCTAAAAATAGTTGTTTAAAAATCTACGCCTTAAAGTAGACCCTAAAAATAGTTATTTAAAAATCTACGCCTTAAAGTAGACCCTAAAAATAGTTATTTAAAAATCTACGCCTTAAAGTAGACCCTAAAAATAGGTATTTAAAAAACTACGCCTTAAATAGACCCTAAAAATAGGTATTTAGAAATCTACGACTTAATGTAGACCCTAAAAATAGGTATTTAGAAATCTACGACTTAATGTAGACCCTAAAAAATGCATTTAAAAATCTACGCCTTAATGTAGACCCTAAAAAAATGCACTTAAAAATCTACGCCTTAATGTAGACCCTAAAATAGGTATTTAAAAAACTACGCCTTAAAGTAGACCCTAAAAATAGGTATTTAAAAACTACGCCTTAAATAGACCCTAAAAATAGGTATTTAGAAATCTACGCCTTAAGGTAGACCCCAAAAATAGGTATTTAAAAATCTACGCCTTAATGTAGACCATAAAAATAGGTATTTAAAAATCTACGCCTCAAAGTAGACTCTAAAAATAGGTATTTAAAAGTCTACGCCTTAAGGTAGACCCTAAAAATATGTTTTTAAACATATTTTTTAAATTTGAATACGAAAATGGTGATAATGGATTTACGAAAAATGAGATGTCTCACGAAGAAGTTTGCTTTGTATAATATAATATCAATAATACATCGGGGTCTCGGAATTATTGTCTATAAAAAAAACAAAAGAACCACGATGGCGTGGAAAATTAATTTAAAATTCGAATACGAAAATGGTGATATAGGATTTTCGACAAAAGTCTACAAAAGATGATGCTGTCTACGAATTTATCTACAAAACCAGTAAGGAAAGTAGTAAAGTCGGACTGGGCCGACCATATGATACCCTTCACCACTTTGGGTATATTGTACATATGTATCCTTACCATTGTATGTCAGTGTTCCCTCGAAAGAACAAACTCACATCTTTCTGCAACCCGCACTGTTAAAAATTTAATTTCAATCAGACACCCGTTCGAAGTACATATGGATGCTATTGCTGCAATTTCGCCGATTTCAACAAAACCCAATAACGTCATTCAAGTCTCAATTTGATACGTTGTGCAAAATTTCGTGTTAATCGGACAAATATTAGGAGTTTGGTGCGCCATTTGTGTAAAATCGGACGAAAATATATATATGGGAGCTATATCTAAATCTGAACGGATCTTCACGAAACTAAGCACACATCATTCTAGACTTATGGGTGATATATTCGGATATAGGCTAGCACACAACATTCTAGACTCAATTCAGTACGCTATGCCAAATTTCGTGGAAATCGAAAGATATATAGAGACTTTGGTGAACCATTTACATTAAATCGGTCGAACATATATATGGGAGATATATCTAAATCTTTACCGATTTTCAAGAAATTTTACGCCATCATTCCTGATTCAATTCAGTACGATATGCCAAATTTCTTGCAAATCGAAACATATATTGCGACTTTGGTACACCTTTTACATGAAATATCTAAATCTGAACCGATTTTCAAGAAATTTTACACACATAATTATAGTCTTAATTAAGTACGCTGTGCCAAATTTCGTGCGAATGGAGAGATAAATAGGGACTTTGGTACACTATTTACATGAAATCGGTGGAACATATATACGGGAGCTATATATAAATCCGAACCGATTATCAAGAAATTTTACGCCGTTCATTCTAGTCTCAGTTCAGTAAGCTATGTCAAATTTCGTGCAAATCGAAATATATATAGGGAATTTGGTACACCATTTACATGAAATATCTAAATCTGAACCGATTTTTCCCTATTTCAATAGGGTTCCTGGCCCAAATAAATGTGCTGTGCCAATTTTCATCCAATTCGGATCATAAATGCGACCTGTGCTTTGTTTACAATTTATGGACATGGACAGACAGACGGACGGACGACTTAGAAAGTGATTGTATGCATATTCTCAAAAGGAACCATGTGTCTATCTCGTTTCCTTTTGCCTGTTACAAACATATACACAAAGACATAATACCCTGTACCACAGTGTGGTGAAGGGTATAAAAATCTAGGCCTTAAGGTAGACCCTTAAAAATATGTTTTTAAAAATCTACGCCTTAGGGTAGACCCTCAAAAATATTTTTTAAAAATCTACGCCTTAGGGTAGACCCTCAAAAATACTTTTTTTAAAAAATCTACGCCTTTTATTAGTCCCTCAAAAATATTTTTTTAAAAATCCACGTCTTTTTTTTAAAATCACGCTTTTGTTTGACCCTGTATTTTTTATAAAAAATTCAGGCCTTCTTCAGGTCTCTCAAATATATTTTTTAATAAAAATCCGCTCCTTGTTTAGGTCCTTCAAACTATTTCTAAACCAGTGAGCGGAGCAGTATAGTCGGACGGGGCCGACCATACGATACCATACACAACTACCACGAAACTCTAACTTTCTACGGATTTTTATTACGAGCCTGGGCAATATTTCGTGATAGTCCTTCCTCAATACAGTCCTTCTAATTTCTTGTCCATATTCCCTTCAATGGGGGTTGTGTTGTGATGTTCGGCTTATAATTGGGCCTATAGACGAAAAAAAACCCAAAAAAAATGAAGTTTTCGGTCCACTTCATCCCAAAATTATATCACCGAAAATTATACATTACTGGAACCTCATGGAACATTTCAAAGCGATCAGCGCTATATTTCCGCCCTCCAGTGTAGTAATTGCGGCCTCTGGAGCGACCAGAAAATCAGACAAAAATAAATTTTTTTTTTTCCATTTCATCTCCTAAATATCAACCGAGCTTTACCAAAAACAATAGGGGTCTTCATTGGCTAGAACCCATCCTACATGCAAAATTTCGTGAAGATTGGTCCATAACTGTGGCCTGTATCGTGTTTACAAATTATAATGGACAGACGGACGGACGGACACTCATGTCTAGATCGACTCAGTTAGTCGAGATATGACGATCGGTATACTTAAAGGTGAGTCTATGACCAATATTTCGCGGCGTTTCAAACTTTTGGGGCTGCACAAAGCTATAATACCCTGACAACATTGTTGTATAGGGTATAAAAATCCAAGGCTCTCAAAAATAGTTTTTAAAAAATCCAAAATCCTTCAAAAATATTGTTCAGAAAATCCACGCCTTGTTTAGGTTCTCAAATTATTTTTTTAAAGTCAATCTTAATATTGACACTCAAATTTTTTCAGTTTTTTTTTTTTAATTTATTTTAGTTGTAATGCAAGTTCGTGTCTTAAATCTTTTAAATCTTAGAAAATCCAAGCCTTGTTTAGGTTCTCAATTTTTTTTTAAAGTCAACCTTAATATTGACACTCAAATTTTTTTCACGCTTTTTTTATTTATTTAAGTTGTAATGCAAGTTCGTGTCTTAAATCTTTTGTTTTTTTTTCACTTGATATTTTCTTAATTTGTTGATTGAGATATTTTCTATTGATTTGGAATTTAAAATATAATATTTGTAATTTTATTTATATATTCCACGCTTGTGTCTTAAGTCTTTCATTTTTTTAAATTTTTTTTAAATATTTTTCTTCTATTTTAATGACATAATTTTTATTTGATTTTTCACAGTTTTATTTCATTTTTTTTTATATTTTTTTCAATATTTTATTTTTAATTTTAAAATATTTTATTTTAAATTTAAAAATATATTTTTTTTATTTTAAAAAATTTGTAATAAAAATTATTTTGAAAGTAAGAAAAATTGTGTCGCACTCTTTCACCGTTGTCGCGTTGATGCCGTCGTCGTTGTTGTCGTCGTTGCCGCTGTTGCATCGATCGATCATCGCTTACCAGACCTCTCGAAAACACAATTAAAACTCAAATAAATTTGCAAAAATTGCCAATTGTTGTTAATAGCCTCCCTCGGAAGATAATTTCACAAAACTACAACAACAACAACGAGACCACAATAACAACAACAACGACAAAGGCAACAAAAATTATTCATTTAACAAATGAACAGATCAATATATATATTTCATTACGGAATGAGAGTACATTTACATAGTGACAGAGAGAGAGGGGAGTAAGTGGAGGCAGGGGAGGGGACAAGAGAGAGAAAATCAGATGTAAGAGGGATGATGATGATGATTTGTTTCAATTGGAAATCCAAAACAATAATAACTATAAATAAAAAAAGAAATGGAAATAAATCGAAGCTGGGTAAAGGTGGAGGCTGAGGCAGCGGATTTTTAAAGGGGCTACGAAGAGATTTTTTTAAAAATATTTTTCGAGACCTACACAAGGCGTGGATTTTTTAAAAAATATTTTTGAGGTTCTTATACAAGGCATGGATTTTTTAAAACTTATTTTTGGAGACCTACACAAGGCGTGGATTTTTTAAAAAATATTTTTGGAGACCTACACAAGGCGTGGATTTTTTAAAACTTACTTTTTGGAGACCTACACAAGGCGTGGATTTTTTAAAACTTATTTTCGGAGACCTAAACAAGGCTTGGATTTTTTAAAACTTATTTTTGGAGACCTAAACAAGGCGTGGATTTTTTTAAAACTTATTTTTGGAGACCTACACAAGGCGTGGATTTTTTTAAAACTTATTTTTGGAGACCTACACAAGGCGTGGATTTTTTAAAACTTATTTTTGGAGACCTACACAAGGCGTGAATTTTTTAAAAAATATTTTTGAGGGTCTACCTTCAGGTGGGGATTTTTTAAAACTTATTTTCGAGGGTCTACCTTCAGATGAGGGTCTACCTTGAGGGTCTAAGGAAACGAGATAGATCCATAATTCCTTTTGAGAATATCCTTTATAGAATCACTTTCAGAGTCGATTTACGCATGTCCGTCCGTCCGTCTGTCCGTCCATGCATTTGTGGGAACAAAGTACAGGTCGTATTTATGATCCGATTTGGATGAAATTTGGTATATGTCAAATTTGGCACAGCGTAATGAATTAGGTCTAGAATGATGTGTGTTAAGTCGGTTCAGATTTAGATATTATATTGGCCCAAGGTGCACGATATCATTCGATTACACCTATTGGTGTGTTAAGTTTCCTGAAAATCGGTTCAGATTTAATTGATATAGATATATATATATTACGTCCGATTTAAGGTGAATGGTCCACCAAAATGATGTGTGTTAAGTTTCGTGAAAATCGGTTCAGATTTCGATATAACCTTCCATATATATTTTCGTCCGATTTAAGGTGAATGGTGTACCCAAGTCTCTATATATCTTTCGATTTACACGAAATTTTGCACAGCGTGATGAATTATGTCTAGAATGATGTATGTTAAGCTTCCTGAAAATCGGTTCAGATTTAGATATAGCTCCCATATATATTTTCGTCCGATTTAATGTAAATGGTCCACCAAAGTCTCTATATATCTTTCGATTTGTACGAAATTTGGTACAGCGTAATGAATTAGGTCTAGAATGGTGTGTATTAAGTTTCGTGAAAATCGGTTCAGATTTAGATATAGCTCCCATATATATATTCGTCCGATTTAAGGTGAATGGTGTACCCAAGTCTCTATATATCTTTTGATTTGCTCGAAATTTGACACAGCGTGATGAATTAGGTGTAGAATGATGTGTATTAAGTTTCCTGAAAATCGGTTCAGATTTAGATATAGCTCCCATATATATTTTCGTCCGATTTAAGGTGAATGGTGTACCAAAGCCCCTATATATCTTTCGATTTGCACGAAATTTTGCATGCAGTACTGAATTAAGTCTAGAATGATGTGTGTTAAATTTCGTGAAAATCGGTTCAGATTTCGATATAGCTCCCATATATATTTACGTCCGATTTAAGGTGAATGGTGTACCAAAGTCCCTATATATCTCCCGATTTGCAAAGTGGTGAAGGGTATCATATAGTCGGCCCCGTACGATTTTACCACTTTCCTTACTGGCTTATTTTTGTTGTTGTTACAAATCATCCGCTAAACCTAGCCTTTCGAAATTCTGCAAGTAGGGTGACAGTAGTTGTAATTTTCTAAAATAAATCTTACCTTAAACCATCTCCATTATCATCGTTGTGATGATGAGGATGATGACGAAGATCATTGGAAAGAAGAGCCGGAGCCGGGGTCGTATCATTCACATATGTGTCGCTGGTAATGTGGTGACTGTTGTTGTTGCCATAATGCCGGAAACTTTCCAAATCGACACGATTATAGCTGTGTGGAGACTGGTACTGTTGTTGGTGTTGCTGTTGTTGTTGCTGCTGTGTTGGTGACTTGAGCTGCTGAGTGGATTGCGTTGGTGTCAACCGATCGCTCTGTGGTTTCAATTGGTACAACGCAGGAGGTGATTGTCGTTGCTGGTGCTCGTGTTGTTGTTGTGACGGCTCCCGTTGACGCAGCAGTTGCTGATGATCGCGATGATGACGAAGTTCAGTTGTCGTACGAGATTCATCACTGCTGCTGCCATCGAAGCCGCTGTTGTTGTCACCTACGCGTGATTTTCTTAAATGAGTGGAACATGGCATGGAACTGGTATGGTTCGTCGTGGTGGTGGTGGTGGAACTGTGTGTTGTGGTACCTCTTACCATACCCCGATGACTGGTTAGCGGACTGCGGCTGGGGCTGTTGTTACCATTTTGCCTAAATATGGAAGGTTGTTGCCAAGATGGTCGTGTCGTTGATGTGGTTGGTGATGCTGTGGCTGATGGCGACGACGATGATGATGGTGTCAATGATGCTGTTGTCTTTGTTGTACGATCTCCAATACTGCTGTTCGCATTCGTGTTGTTGTTGTTGCCAACAATTGCATGTAGGCTTATATTTTTCCCTGCCATATTTTTATTGGCCGTGTGGGTGTTCATTGACGAATTTTTATTTAAATTCGAATTGAAATTCGTTGACGTTGATGTCGACGTCGATGTTGTTGTTGTTGCTTCCACTGCAGTTGTGGAATTATTTGAACTATTTGAGATGCTGGAACTACTTTTCTGCAAAGACAATTATGAGAGAGACCCAAAAATTAGACAATTGTGAAAAAATAATGGAGTTGTTGTTGTTGTGTGTCTTTTAGTGTTGTTGTTTTTGTTGTATTTCGTTAAATGTTACTTAAACATTGTTGTAGTGTTACATTATGGCTTTAAATGATTGATTAGGTTTCAGTTGTTTCTGGGCAATGGCATGGGACTGGGACTGGAAACAAAGACAATGGAGGGTGGTATGGAAATTTGGAAAATAATTTTTTTAAAGAATCTCAACAAGGCGTGGATTTTTTAAAAAAAATATTTTTTGGACTAAGCTTAAGGCGTTCGATCGATCCGAGGAGCGAATATCGATTCGGACCATTACCTTGTGGCAGTCAAGCTTCGCACCCGTCTCAGTGTAGCAGCAAAGGTGCGATCTAACACAACACGGAAACTCGACGTCGAAAATATGCAAACACAACAAGTGGCAGAGGCCAACTCCGCTCAATTTACCCAACTGCTTGACGAAAGCACCCCTTGTCCCGATAATAATATAGAAGCACAGTGGCAATTCTTTGCCACTCCCTACAAACTGCAGCAAAGGCAACACTTGGGTACCAAAAACCACCATCAAGAAACCCATGGTACGATCAGGAGTGTCGTAATGATACTGATATGAAAAACGTAGCGTATAGGGCAACCCTGCGGACAGTACCAACACGTAATGCGATGGAGAATTATCGGGGAAAAGGAGAGAGAGGAGAAACGTATTTTCAGAAACTAAAAAAGAAAGAACAAGAAACACGCGAGCGTGAGCAAATCGAGATGTATAGGAGTCCGGAATGAAGTCCGAAAACTCTACCAACGGGTAAAACACCAAACTGAAGGCTTGGGGGCAGGCTCATCCTCTTGTAGAGATGAAGAAGGAAACCAGGTGACAGATACAGACAGCGTGCTGAGGATCTGGAAGGAGCATTTTGAAAAGCTTCGGGTATAAAATAGTAGCGGTGAAAAGGATACCCCAGAACCAATAATAGATATAGATGTGGTATACGCCTAGCCAAGATGAGGTCAGAATAGCTATTAATCGGCTAAAGAACAATAAAGCAGCAGGAGCCGACGGGTTACCAGCCGAACGATTCAAGACTGGTGGTCAGATGCTGGTCAGGAGCATGCACCAGCTGATTAGTACAATTTGGTTCCAATGATTGTTCTGTGTCCCGTGAGAAGAAGGAGACAAGACGATATGTGCCAACTATAGAGGCATTAGCGTTCTTCCATCGCATATAAAATGCTAACCAGCGTGCTGTGTGGTGAACCACTGAAGCCAATGGTCAACGACATTATTGGACCAAACCAATTCGGCTTCAGACCTGGCAAATCCACCATTGACCAGATTTTCACTCTGCGCCAAATCCTGGAAAAAAACCCACGAAAAACACACCGACACATTCGACAGCCCTATCCGTTCAGAGGTGTTTAAAGCCATGTCTGCGTTTGTCATTCCTGCAAAATTAATACGGCTATGCAGGACAACTTTAACTGTCACAAGATGAGCAGTTAAAGTCGGAAAGGACCTCTCGGAGCCCTTCAATACCGAACGATGATTCAGACAAGGTGATAGTTTATCGTGTGACCTTTTTACCGAGCGAGGATTCAGACAAGGTGACAGTTTGTCCTGTGATCTTTTTAACATCCTGCTGGAAAAGGTCATACGAGAGGCAAAGGTGAACAGAAATGACACTCTGTACACCAAACAATACATGTTACTCGCCTACGCCGATGACATCGATATAATGGGTCGGACATTGAGAGCGGCAACAGCCGACTTTCAACAAATTGAGAAGGATTCTGCCAAAGTGGGTCTGGCAGTAAACGGCGAGAAGACCAAGCTGATGGTATCAACGCGCAAGACGTCCAGTAGACTCGGACCAATTGTTGAACTTGATAACTACAGCTTCGAGGTAGTCAAAGATTTTTTATATACCTTGGTACCGCCATAAATAACACGAATGACATCAGTTTTGAAGGATAAGGATAGTGATGACCATCAGATGCTACTATGGTCTGAGTAAGCACTTTAGAAACAAGGCCACCCCCCGCCAGACCAAACTCACACTCTACAAGACGCTGCTACTACCCGTGCTGTTATATGGATCTGAAGCATGGGTACTTACGCAAACAGATGAGGCAGCTCTTGGAGTGTTTGAGAGAAAAATTCTCCGAAAGATTTATGGGCCGATCTGCGTTGACGTTGAATATCGCTGTCGAATGAACTATGAGTTGTACCACCTATTCTGGGACATCAACATTGTTAGACGTATTGAGCTGCAGCGACTACGTTGGCTAGGTCATGTTGTGAGAATGGATGAAGGAATATAAAAGCGAAACAGCTGATGCTTCAATCCGACGCGCCTGAAAATCTTTTTTAAGTTCGGCTTATGGAACGAAGGTTGTGTCAGTAAGTAAGCCTAAGGCGTGGATTTATAAAAAAATATTTTCAGGGACCTAAACAAGGCGTAGATTTATAAAACTTTTTTTTAGGCACCTAAACAAGTCGTTGATTTATAGAAAAAAATATTTTTAGGGATCCACACAAGGCGTGGATTTATAAAAAGATATTTTTTGGGACCTAAACAAGGCGTAAAGACCCTCAAAAATATTTTAGGGACCTAAACAAGGCGTGAAGACCCTCAAAATTATTTTTAGGGACCCCAAGACCCTCAAAAATATTTTTAGGGGCCTAAGCAAGGCCCGAAGACCCTCAAAAATATTTTCAGGGACCTAAACCAGGCGTGAAGACCCTCAAAAATATTTTTAGGGACCTAAACAAAGCGTGAAGACCCTCTAAAATATTTTTAGGGACCTAAAAAAGGCGTGAAGACCCTCTAAAATATTTTTAGGGACCTAAACAAGGCGTGAAGACCCTCAAAAATATTTTTAGGGACCTAAACAAAGCGTGAAGACCCTCTAAAATATTTTTAGGGACCTAAACAAGGCGTGAAGACCGTCAAAAATATTTTTAGGGACCTAAACAAGGCGTGAAGACCCTCAAAAATATTTTTAGGGACCTAAACAAGATGTGAAGACCCCTAAAAAATTTTGTTTAAAAATCGACGTCTTTATGAAGAACCTTAATTTTTTTTTTTAAATCCACGCCTTTATGAAGACCCTCAAAAATATTTTTTTTAGGTCCTTCAAAAATAATTTTTAAATCGTTCCCCTCGTTTTCATACCAATCTCCCTTCAGCGAGTTTCTCATTCGATGACAATGATTAACAAAACTTACAAAACATTTCACTTTAACGGTATTTTTGCTTTTTCTATTATTGTTTTGACTTGAAATTGTTTTTTTGTCTTTGGTCTTGTATTTCAAAAAATAGAAAAAAAAACAACAGCAACCACCACCACACCAAACAGATGTGGGTGGATGGTTGGTGAACGAATGACTTATTCGACTGTCTGACTGACTTGAATGCCTTTCATAACCCCCAGAAGAGAATTTCTTCCGAGTAATATTTCAAATCTAAACAACAATAACAACACCACCAACAACAGAATGAAAAAAAATATTCGAATCCCAAAAGAAGAAATAATTAATGGATTTTGAAATATACTGTAAAGAAATGTAAATATATGAGGGGACGGAACTTTTCTTGCTTTGTCGATTGGCTTCACTTGGAAGGCTTTCAATGAGTGAGTGTTGGTTGTTGTTCGGAATTGTGGGAATAATAAATGCCTCAAGTCAATTTTGGGTTTAACCATCATTAATGTTGGTAAAGTGTGTGTGAGTGGGAGAAGAGGGTTAGATATTAAGTGTAGATGTTTCAATTTTAATGGCCACTTTTTACAAAAAAAAAAAAAAAAAAAAAAAAAATATCTGTCATTTCCATGTTGTTCCCAAAGTAAAAAAAAAAACTTCATCCGGTTTACTTCTACTTTGAAGTAGAAAACTATGAAGAAGAACTTTCTCAAGCACAACTCTTGGTCTAATTACAAAAAAAAGAAAAAAAAACAAAACGAAATATTATAATGATATTTTTGGGATAATGGCTTTGGGCGGTTTTTTGGATTTTGTTGCTGTCTATGAGGTCATTGGGCAAAATAAAAAAAAAAAATTGTGAAATTGTTATTAAATTTTTGTAGACCACATTTAGCCCTCAAATACAAAATTTTATTGATATTGGAAGGAAGCTGGACGACTTATATCGCAAATTTGGCTAATTTATGGCAATTTTTGAAAATGGCGCCCAACGTGAAATGTTCATCAATATTGCTAATTTTTGGTAGGAAGATTTGCCAGCCAATGACAACACAAAATTCCAAATTACAATCAATTCGGTTGGAAAAAGTGTCCAAACTCCTCAAAATATCGTAATTCGCTAGGTACCCTTATATGGGAGCTACCCTAAAAAGTGGAGCAATTTTGATCATTTTTGGTAGGAAAATTTGCTACGCTATGAGACCCCAAAATACTAAATTATAGCCAATTTGCTTGAAAAATAAGCTCAAATTACCCAAAATATCGAAAATGGCGCCCAACGTGTAATTTGCACCAATATTGATAATTTTTGGTTGGAAGTTTTTCCAGCCAATTAGAACCCGAAATACCAAATTACAGTCAAATTGGGTGAAAATCGTGCTTAAAATCCCGAAAATATCAAAATTCGGGAGGTTCCCATATATGGTAGCTACCCTAAAAAGTGGACCAATATTGATAAATTTGGTTGGAAGATTTGCTTCGTTTAGAGAATCCAAAATGCTACATTACAGCCAATTTGGTTGGAAAATGAGCTCAAACTCACTAAACTATCGAAATTCGGAAGGTACCCTTATATGGGACCTACATTAAAATGTGGATCAATTTCGTTAATTTGAGGTTGGAATATTTGTTATGGTATGAGAACCCAAAATACTAAATTACCGGCAATTTGGTTGAAAAATGAGCTCAAACTCACCAAAATATCGAAATTCGGGAGGTATCCTTATATGGGACCTACAGTAAAATGTGGATCAATTTCAATAAT